CATGCAGCTGCTGCCTCCCTGCCTCGGTCTCCCCTCCTGGCCCGGTAAGTCACATCTCCTGGTTCTCCTGCCACTTCTCTGCCGTGGTTCTGAGGACTGGTCATCGTGAACTGGAGCACTGGAGTCCTTCAGGGCTGGCTCATCAGCTCTCTTTTCTTCTCATGATTCTTACTGGGAAATCTCATTCCTTCCACGACTCCAGTTATTACCATCAGACTTCCAGACACACCTAGAAGTCTGTGTCTCTGGGCAAGAAATGGGAGGAGGAAGAGGTTCCAAAATCAACCTGAGCTCGGTGGCAGGGGCACAGCAGCAACAAAACCAGCAAGAAGCGGCCACCGTGGCTGTCACAAGGGAGCACTGGGCCAGGGAATGCCCCCACGCCTGCATGTGTCCAGTTGATCCTGGCACCTGGGAGGAGGGGCCGCCAGCTCACCTCCCACGGAGGAACCTGGAACGTGAAGAGCCAAAGGGCCTCCCCGAGCCACGGCAGAGCAAGGCTGAACCCAGCAACGAGGCCCAGGCCCTGGGCACCAGCCTGTCACCCACACAGACGTCGACGCGTGTCCAAGTCAAGGACATGGCCTGCAGTGCTGTTCCAAGGGCTAGTGGAAAACGGGAGGCGACCTCATGCCCACCAGCCAGGGACAAGGAGCCGGCTCGCAGCAGAGGGCTGGGGACTATCCTCAGGGAGGCGCCCAAGGCCTGGACAGAGGGACAGTGGTGAGTCTACACAGCAGCACCGAGCGTGAGGTGGACCCAGCCGCGAGAGGGGCCGCGGGAGGGGCCGCAGAGCGCCGGCTCATCTGTGCTACACGCTGGTTTTTCTTTTACAAAGAGAACATTCACTGTGTCACTTTTATATAATTTAATTTTAAAAGTCATCGGCCAATAAGCTGATGACACACACAAGGACACACACTGTGTGATCCCCATGTGAGTTTCCAGAGATGGGGGACCACAGAAGGGCAGAGTCACGGGCGGGGCGGGGCAGGGCAGGGGGGGTCTCACTGTGGTGGGTGAGTTTCTGACATGTAAGAAGGACGGCCCCTGGAGGCCGCTGGACACCATGGCACACGGTTAACTGTGCCGCTCTGTGCCCTGCAGGCTGTTGGGAAGCGGCTGGCCCAGCGTGGTGTCCCGTGGTGAAGAGCGTCATCCAGGACATACGTGACTCTCCTCAGAGCTTCTTTTTCCAGGTCAACCTTCCAAATATGACACGAAGCCACCAGACCAGACCCCAGGGAGCACGGGGCGGGTGCTGTGGGGGAGGCAGGGGTCCTGAGGCCCTTCAGCCAAGACGCACTGCCCTGAGCAAGGCACAAGGCGGTCCTGCAGCTGCTGCCCGGCCAGAGGAGCACCAGGCCCCACACAGGTGGCACCTCCACCCTCCACTGTACCCAGGGCATGGGACCACCCGGGGCAGAGGGCAGTGGGGGGTCTGCACATCTGCAAAAACAGGCGTGGACACAATGACCCCGGCCTCCTCCAGGGACTGCGAGGGTTAAAGTGATAACAAACCAATGTGGCTTGACACGGCCTGGATGTCCCCACAGCCACCGCCATGGTCTAGGTCCCTCAATTTCCAAAGCCATGACTCAGATAGCGCCATTAGCCTAGATGAACGTCCCCCTTCACTCACAGCACCCTGGAGCCTCGGAAGCCCACTGCCCCTAGCGAACCCCAGCTTGACCTGGGTCCAGCCGCGCAGGCTCCAGAGCACCTGTGTCCAGGCACAGTTTTCTCAAGGAAAACCCAAGTTTTATCTGGGAAAAAAAAAAAAAAGGATGAATAAAGCCTGGAATTCTGGTGCCACTTGAGGGACAATCATCAAACAGGTGGCTATTTTTTTCATTTTTCACAATAGCCCAGATCTGGAACATGCACAGGTGGAAAAAGAAAATGTGATTGCTGTACATGGTGGAATATTACTCAGCCCTAAACTATAACAAGACTTTATCATTTGTAGCAACATTGACGACCTCGAGGACCTTAGGTTACATGACATGAGCCAGGCAAGAAAGACAAATACGGCACGTTCTCATCTACGCGTGGCAGCTAAGAGTAGATCTCATGGAGGCAGAGCTGGGAGGGAAGGAGGCAGGTGGAGGGAGGACGCTGATGGGTGCTGGGTGCCACTGGAGAGTATGAGGAACCTTTAACGTTCTATAGAGCACAATGGGTGATTGAAAGCTGTATATCTCAAAATAGCTGATAGGAAGGATTCTGAATGTTCTCAACACAAAGAATAAATGTTTGAGGTGCTGGATCTTCCAGTTGCCCTCACTTGATCGCACCTGCATGCATGTGTTGAAATAAATCATTTACAGGTGGGGAAACCAGGGCACAGAGAAATCAAGTAACTTCTGCAAGATCACAAAGCCTATTTGTGGCAGCACCAGAATTTGAACCTGTGCCCCAGAGTCCATGTCTTAACCACTGGGATCCACTGCCTGTAGCTTGAAAGATCAGCCCAGCAGGCTCTCTACGTGAGCCAAGGAGACGCTGTTTCACAAACAAGGGACAAAGTTCCAGGGATCTCTCTTGGTCCAGGAGACACTGCCTTTGTGGCCAGAGAGTCATAACCTTTCAAATTCTCTTGGTGTGTCACAAGATGGACCCCATCTTCAGCCTCGTGCAGCCCCCATCCCCAGCTCCTTCCTTGCACCCACAGGACTCTGCTAACCGGCTTTTCAAGACCCAGTGAGACCTAGACGCCCCTGTTTCCAAAGGCTACTCAGTGCTGGAGAAGAACCAAGGTCATTCTCCTCACCCTGGCCCTGTGCGGCACTCGGGTGGAAATGCAGCAGGAGGCGTGAGCACGGCCCCCACGGCCCCCTGCCCAGTGTCCACAACACCGAGAGGAGACCTCAGCAAATCCTGTGCCCAGCCAGGCTTGGATCCGGGCCTCGCTGGAGCCCAACGCAATGGGTCACAGCCATTACAGAGGACAAGGTTCACACAGGCAGTCCCCTGGGTTGGGAGAGGGACACCTTCCCTGGGGCTGGAACATCCTGAGGAGGCACAGTGGGGACAACAGCCAGGCGCACGTGGCAACCGAATGACCGGCCATCGTGTAGAGCCCCGTCCAGGACTCAACCTTGGCCCTGTGGCAATCAGCCAGGGTGGCAGAGCGTGGCCAGGGCTCCCAGGTCCCCTGGCTTTGTGCCTCTGCTCCCAACTCCCCCAGACAGGGAAGCCACAGGTGCTCCCCCAGCCCGGCACAGAAGCTGCCACTTCTCCTGGCCTGCTCTACCTCTCGGGCCCGAGCCTCCACCTGGGCACATGGGGCTGCCCTCCTCTCCTGTCCTTGCACATGCTGCCCACTCCTCTGCCACCTTGGAGTCTCTGCCAAGCATGGAGACAGTGGTGACTCCCCACGGGGGCCAACTCTAAAGAGCGCCCTGCTTGCTTCATTTGTTCCCACCATCTCCATCTCCAGCTGTCACATAGAGCAAAATAAAGCACCGAGGTGGCTTTGTGCAGCACAGACAGGTCCGGACGAGCAACCCAGATGCCCAAAACAGGGCTCTCACTCGCACACATGGGCCCAGACCCCAACCCCACGCCCTCCCTGTGTGAGACCTCAGTCAAGAACCCAACCCAACCCCCAGCCTCAGTTTCCACACCCATAGAATGGACGGGAGTGACACCTTGCCGGTGGCTGTGGTCATGCAGAGAGAGACGCAGGCGAAGGGCCAGCCCAGGACCAGGCACAGGACACAGAGCAGCTTAAACACAGTAACAGCACCGAGGCCTGGCCACCCAAGGACATGCCCTGAACACGGCGAGGGCCAGGCTTGGCGGGGACTCCACAAGAATCAGCCAACCCAGGCCTAGGCCCACTCCTATGCTGCCCTGGTCACTGTGACTCCCCACCCCACACACAGCACATGACTGGAGGTGCTGTCCTCGCGGGTCAGCACCAAGCCCTCCGTCCAGCGCTGCACCCCTTTATTCCAACCCATGACAGGGCTTCCAGATCCAAACGCCCTCAGCAGCCAGGCGGGCATGTGATGTGGGAAACGAGGAGGGATAGGGACTGTGGTGGGCTAGAAGTGCACCACATCCAACCAGAGCCCACAGTGCCCGGCCACTAGGTCCTCACACCTGCAGAGGAAGGAGCGTGTGCCCTCTCCCTGCGGGGGGAGGTGGCAGCTGGCTCTAGGCTCTCCAGGGACACCATGGGGGCTGAAGAGAGCTCAGCGGGCTCAGCCCTCCGCACACCTTTGTAAGTGAAGGTTTATTGGCACCAGTCGCCCCCGCTCACCACGGCTGCTTTCACGCTGCACCAGCAGACCCGGGGAGCTCCCGGGGTCAGCGCAGTCCACAGTGCCACCGCCTAGCCAACCCCTTCCAGAAGGTCTCTGCCCGCCCTGTCTCCTGGCTCTCTCATCTGATCCTGAGGGGCTCACAGAGAACCACAGAGTTCTCTGCCGGAGACAGGTCAGCACATGGACGGCAGTGGCGGACCCCTGAGCCCCTGGAGTGCTACTGGCTGCCTGGCTTGGCCGGGAGGGTCTGCTTGTTCAGCCCAGTGCACGTGCTGACTGGCACCTGAACCCTTCTCCTTGGAGCATTTCCTAAAGACAGCCTGCAATGGACACAGCTGCCTCTGACTCAGAGCAAGGCACGAGGACCCAAAACAACCATCAGCAAGGACAGCTCTGTCTTCCAGCCTCCGAGGGAGGACAGACCTCCAACTTAGCCCAGGGCCAGTACGGGCAATCACGGCTGGCACTGTGTCCACACCACTGACCTTGGTGCTGGGTCCCCCTTCAGCTCTGGTCCCGCGCTCCCCTCCCTCACGCTCCCTTCCCAATGCCCAGCCCCCCCTGCACACGTGCGAGGGCCTCAGCTCCCTCCCCCCGGCCAGTAGTTACCCCAGCTGCGTTTATCTTTGACAAGCCCCGGCCAACGACCAACGCCACCTACCAGCCCGTAACTGGGGGTTTCCAAGAGCTGACCGCCACCCCACCCCACCCGGCAAAGCCTCTTACCGGAGGGTGAACTGCTCTGCCACGGAGCCGCTGGTCAGAGAGACCAGAAAGGTGGCTGTGTCCCCTTCGCGGATGAGGTTCAGCGGGACGGAGAGGGCGACATTCTGGTCCAGGCTCAGCAGGGACCAGCGCAGGTCGTCCTGGGTCGGGTAGACCACCACGCTGCCGATGCGCTCCCGGGCGGGGGGCGCCTGCGGGGGGCTGTCCTGGCCCAAGTGGATGTTGTTCTCCCACTTGCCCTCCTCCTCCAGGGGACACTGGCCCGCTGCGTCGGCCGGGTAGAGACTGAAGAAGAGCTCCATGGCCGTGCCCCCCAGCAGGGCCGGGATCTCCTCCTCGGGCTCCAGGTCCAGGCCAGAGCTGAACCACTCGGGCAGCAGCTCCAGCTCGGCCACGCACAGCCCGGGGGCCCCCTGCAGCCGGCAGCTGGCCGCCACCTCCCTGGCCTCTGGGAAGGCAAACATCTTGACGCAGGGCAGGTCCTCCCCCGGGTCGCTGTCGTCCCAGGCCATGCCGGTGACGTAGAAGAGGGTCTGCACCTTGGGCCGGTTGGAGTAGATGGAGCTGTCGAGGATGTGGGGCTTCAGCTTCCAGTTGAAGGGGAACTTCTCCAGGTCGCCGAAGGCCGTGGGCGTCAGCAGGAGCTCCCGGGGCAGCGGCCTCTCGGCGGAGAAGGGCCCGTAGCTGGCGTTGACGGAGGGCGGGCCCCGGGCACGGTAGACGAAGAGGGACTCCACCCGGGCCTGCAGGCTGGCGTTGCGCGTCAGGTCCTGCCTGGCCTCCTTGAGGAAGAAGGACGCCTCGGCGCCGGCGATGTGCAGGTCGGAGGGGAGGAAGGCCGGCAGCGAGGAGAACCTCTGCAGGCCGTCTGCGCCTCGGCCCGTGGCCACTGCAAGAAGGAGAGCAGACAAAGATGAGGCCCTGTTCTGCCATGCGAGGAGATGACCCAACGCAGTGCCCCCGCCACCTAGCAAGCTGCCCCTGGCCACAGGGAAAGCCCTGTAATTCCACACAGCGTGTTCTTCGGGACTGTCCCCAAACCCTGTGGCGTGGGAAGGAGCCCCGATGGCCACTGACCCGTGGCCCCGAGGCGCTCGGCTGCCTCCCCCAAGGGCAAGCGTTACTCCTCCCATCTTGCTCTCGCAGAGAGAGCCCCACACCCAGGTACGGGGTCATCTTGGTGGCCCCTCACCCTGCAGAGCACGAGGCACCCACTACGCCCGCCACCCAAGCCGGCCCCACCCAGGTTCAAGACTTGGCAGCTCCTGCTTCTCTCCCCCCACCCCCGGGTGTCAGGACCCAGACACTGAGATACACCCAGAGTCATCAAGAGGCTCGCGAAGCTCAGGCTGGGCATTTCCACTTCTAGGAATCCCTCCTTCTGAAACACTGGGGTGGGACGGGAGCATAAAGCTCTCTCCACGAGGCCATTCCTGCCTCGGCTAGAGCCGTGAACAAACTGCAGAGCGTGCTGGAGCCAAAGCCAGGCCGTAAACCCGGGCTCAGCCACGTCCTGGCTGAGCAACCTGCCACAAGTGGCTGAACCTCTCTGTGCCTCAGATGTCCTCACATAAAGGAGGATATAAAGGCAGCCCCTGGCTTCCTGGGCCGCAATGAGGATCAGTAAATAAGAAGCGCTGAGAGGGGTGCTGGCCTACGAAAATGACCATCAACATGTACTCGCTGTCATCACCACGTGTCACCGTACCCAGACTAAGACGAGAGAGGCCTGAGGTTGTTACAAGGGCGTACAGATGGCTATGGACCCGGAAGTAGTTATGTGAACGTACTTAAAATAAAACACTGATACGCATGAGGGATGCCCATAGGTGTCATAAAAAACACGTTATAACTGGTCATCACGACCACTCAAGTGTGTCCCCCAGAAGTTCCTGTGAGGAACCTTCGCTCCCCCCAAGGCAGCCTTGGGTGGTGAAGCCTCATGGGAGGTACCTGGGTTGTGGGGGAACCTTATAAACAATTCCTGCCTTCCCTGAGAAGAGGAGCGGGTTGTCTTTTCCTTCTCCAGGTGCACCTGCTTGCCCTTCCACGTCTGCCATGAATTACAGCAGCAGGAGGCCCGCTCCAGAAGCTGAGCAGGTGTTGGCACCAAGCTATGCTCTCAGAACCGTGGGCCAGAATAACCTCCAACCTTTATAATCACCCAGTCTCAGGTATTCTGCTATAGTAACAGAAAACAGACTGAGACAGTCCCATATGATCCTACTTGGGGAAACTTTTAAGTAACGTATATGTGTATGTATTTAAATGCATATGTACTTATGTTTGGGTATCTGTGAAACCAAAAAGAGAAAGATTTTTGCTATTGATCATACATGTTTCTCCTCCAATGTGTAACAGCAATCAAGTGTTGTTTGCTCATTGAAATGTATAAATCGTGCTCATAGACACGGCGTGTGGGCCTGTGTGCTGCTGGCGTGTTCCTTAGGCTGTGCGTCTTTCAGATGGGAAAACACAGCGAAAGCCAGCAAGCTTTTTTAAAGGGAAGACAGCCCACCAGGAACCAGGGCAGCAAATCAGCCAGGACCACAGAGAGGTTTTTTTCCTCTTGCCCTGAAATAAACCTTGCCAATGGAACCCAGGTTTCCAACTAACACAAGGAACCTGACAGCAGAGTCCAACCTGGGCCTCACCAGAGGCTGAAAGGGCAAGGGAATGCCACCCACAGCCCTCAGCCCGGGGCACGCTCCTCTGCAGCCATTACAAAAACCCTGCAAACAGATTTCTGTTGATTGACGTAGTTTTCTTTCCCTTCTTAAAGAATTGTTTCTACTGAAATTTCCTTTCCTGGAAGATGATGGAATTCTAAATAGGAGATGATGAAAAGATCCAGGCAACTGAGGGTTGGTGCATCCCCTCCCCAGGGAGGCATCTGGAGGAGGGGTCTCAGCAGCGTCACCAGGGCCACCCCACGTCATGTTAACTAGCAGAGGACTTGTAGCTACTTGTTCATGAATCCAACTGTAGAGATTATCTGTTGACTCTGTCCCCAGCGCTATGGCTGTTGAGGACATCACAGAGACAAGGTAGACCTGCTTTCTGCCCCAGGAACTGGTGAACTTTGGAGAAAGACACAGCTAACAATCAAAGCAATTAGGAAACTGAGGATCCAGACCCTTCCCAAGGCCTCCTGCAGCAGCGTCCCCCACCCCCCACCCCCACCCCCACCCCCGCCGCCCCAGGGATTTGTTCTAATTGGTCAGGAAGGAGAGTCACATGCAAGGATGTTCGTCACTAGCAGGATCAACAGCGAGAAGCTCCCTAGAAACCGTCATTAGGGGGAGCCACACCACAGACAGTTCAAGCCACCGAGGAGACCCCAACGTCCACACATGTGCAGCCCCGAGAAAACCCAACTGTGCTCCAGAGCAGGAAGAGGCCAAGGCCCTCCTCATGCGACCTTGGCCTGTCCACACACAGATCCCTCCCCACCTGCACGTGCCCCAGAGGTCGGGCCGCACTGGACTCACAGGCGAGAGGGAGAAACAACACAGAGGAAATCAGCCGCATCCAAGGGGCAGCTTCAGGCTGCTGCCACCAGGGAGACCTGTGTTTGACAGTGTCCACTGTGGCAGGAGCACCCTCCCCAGCAAAGTTCAGGTCAGTTTGGGGGCTGCTTTCTCTCCCCTCTCCAAACCAGGAAGCCACATTCCCAGACTCCACCAGGGTGAATGGCAGTAGGACCACGGTCCACGGGAGACGGCTGCTTGGGCAGCGTGACGCCATCATCAGCCCACCAGAGCTGGATGAGAGGGTCCCATTTTACCTTCTCAAAGAATTTAAGGGAAGCCTGAGGCCGGGCTTCAGCACTGATTTACTCCCAGATGTGGGAAAAAAATTAAAGTAACTGCGAACCTAGCCACGCTCTATTCCTAGGGACGGCTTCTTTCTCCCTTTATCTCTATGTAGGAACTGGACGCCTCTTGGACATTGATTTACAAGAGATCTAAGGCTGCACCTCCGCTCTGTACTGCCACCAAAGCCTACGTCTTACCTGCAGGAGCCGGGGGGGTTGGGCTCCTGTTCCCCTGCAACTCAAGCTAAAGGCAACACACATTGCATCTGAAAGTGTCTGCGGAGGCCATGAATGATGGCTGGGGGGCCTTCCTCTGTCCTCACACCAGGCTGCAGAGAACACGATGCCTTAATTTGGGGCCCTTGATGAGGCTCTGAACTGTGGCCCTCCCGCTGATCCCCAGGTGACATCTAGAAGCACATCCTCCCTCCCCTCAGTGGCAGACCCCATGGCCTGAGTGCAGAGGGAAGTGAGCCCTAGCCAACTGCTGACCCCGGGGCTGTCCACACTGATGGAGGGAGGGGGCCAGGATCCCTGAGGCAGGAAGCCCCACCAGGAAGGACTCTCACTGCTGCCCTCGGGTAGCTGGAGGCACAGTGGGGTCAGGTCCAGAGAGAGCTCAAGGGCCTGGGCGGAGGCTCCGCAGGTAGAGGGGAATGACTCAGGACAGCAGTGACAGATGGCCCCAGGGAGCCCCAGAGAGAGCACAGAGCGGACAGAGGCTGGTGACCCCTGGAGGAAGCTGGGAATCCTGGCAAGGATAGGGTGACCCCCCAGTGAGAGGACTGTTGACACTGTGGGCACACAGAGTACTCCCCTGGGTCAGGACTGGGGGACCCTCAGGCCTCAACCCAGATGGCACAGCGTGGCCACCCTCACGCCCAGAACTCAGGCCCTTTCCCTGGTATCGCCAACCCCACCCAGAAATGAAGTCACCAGTTGTGAGGCCACCAGTACCCGGCCAGGGACAGGGCAGCTGCAGCCGAGATTCTTTCTCCAGTTAACACAACTTGGACCTGGAGAACCAGGCAGGCACAGAGGCTCCCTCCAGGGGCCAGAGGGCAGGTCTTTGAAGACCACTGATCTGTCCAAGGGTGGCCCTGACTAGCTGCTGACAATCCACAGCCACCTGTGGAGCCCAGGTACAGCCGTGACTCTCAGTGGCTCCGGGTCGGGAGGCCCAGGTCTGGCAGGAAGCCTCGGCAGGTGGTGCAGGAACTTCTCTGGGGTGAATACCTGGACTAGAGGACCCCTGTGCTCCCCAACCCCAGGTTCCCCTTCTCCGCAGCCCACTCAGCCCAGTCATCTCGCCCTCCTCCTGTCCTTTGCCCTTGCTGGGAAGCTCCTCCACACAGAGCAGAGCATTCCCTTCCCCAGCCGGGAGCCCAGGACTCCAGCCCTTCCCCAAGCCCTCTGCCTCTCGGGGAACTGATCTCCCTCTTCGCCACTCTGCAGTACGTCCAGCCAAATTCGGGCTCTGGTAGGAGGACTAGAGCGTGGAGACCAGGAGAGCCAGGACACGTCTCCCTGCTCGATGACTTCTGCCCCCACAGTGCTCTGCCTTGGTCCCAGGTTCCCATAGCAGGGACCGTGGTGCCCAGCTTACTGCTGAGTCTCTGGTCCCTCCTAGTAGAGGAAGTTAAACAAATGCTCATGGAATGGATGTCCACCAAGTACGACTGCCTGGGTTCCATGCTTGAGAGAATATGTCTCCTGTGTTCCCTCCCAGTCTCTCTGGCTTCCTCTGGGGGTTGTGAACACTAACACGCTCCACGCCATTCATCTCCCTCTCCAACGTCATTTCACTGGGTCGCAAGGTGCTGCGATTTCCATGTGGCAAGAGAAAATATCAATTAAAGGAGAATCAAGCCACTGAGGTGCCAGCACACCTGGGTCCACGTACCTGCCATGTCGGGGACCCTCGTGACACTTCTGAGATGAGCAGTCTCAAAACTGCCTTGGAAAAATGATAAAGCTGAGCCACAGAGAATTTCAGTCATCTGAACACGGTCAAGGTCAGGATTCACACTCGTTCCTTCCACCTCCAAACCTTTCCAGCTCTGCCTCCTGCCTGAGGTCCTCCTGGCCCAGTGGATCTACAGTGAAGGAGCCGGAGCTCAGCGCCCAAGGCCAAGTTCACAGACCCTGCGCCAGCCGGGAGGTTTCACTGCTCTACAACCACAGCTGGCTGTGTCCCCCATCCCAGGTGCCCACTGTCAACCTGGATCTCCAGGTGGTTCAGGAAGATAGGTGCGTCTGACTCAGGGCATCTCAGCACAGCTGCTGCAAAGAGCCAGTGACCAGACCTTCAAGGCA